GAACCTGGAATAGACTGTCGGCAAGGTTCTGAGGCTGAAAATAATTTCCTGCAGCGACCGCAACCTGGGAAAAAAAATATCATTGTGGGCCCAAGCCTGAAACGAACTGTAGCCAAGCCCATACCGAGGTAGTATCGACCCTGAAAGGAACCTGAGACATACTGTGGCGATGAAACTCTGAAATAACTGTTGCGACGACCCCGAGCCTCGAGTAAGGTCGCTGTCTTGAAGATATGTCACTTTCAAACCTTAAACAGACTGCTGTATAAGTACCGAACCTGAAACACACCATCATAGTGGCGTCGGGCCTGGAAGTACTCCACGGGGAAGGTCCCGAACCTGATAATAAATCTCCATCGTGGCCGCCCACCCGGAAATAAGTCACCGTAGCGGCCCCAAGCCTGAAGCAATGTGCCGCCGAGCCCATTCCGAACCAGATTCACACTGACTACCGTAGGATGTAGCCAGTTCGCAACAATACCGAATCTCTCCGAGCCACGTATCCGTACCATGCCAAATGCCATCCTGTAAGTCCAAGGTAGCACCGTCCCACGCCGTCCAGGCGACTACGGGCTGACTCAGTGAGGTTAGTAATCAGATAAACCGGAAAGGCGACACGGGAAACCTCGATTCTCAGGGGATAGTAAAAAAAAGTTAGAGTTCAGAGAATTCGATCAGATCTGGATTCAGCCCCAACGGTGGTTAATCCATGCGAAGTCAGAGCAGGCATCGAGTAATCATTAATTTCTGTTCAACTGTTCACTTTTTAATTACCCTTCTCTTTTCTTAATTCTATTATCCGAATTAGCATAATAATCGCAAATTCTCAAAAATTAATTCCCGAGGGGTTTAAAAAGGAGTAGTTGAAATTCTTTCATTTCCCTTTTCCCTTCTTCATTTTTAGTCTTCTCCCCATTTTCAATTTCATTGCCGGAAACATAAAATAACAAGGGTATTCCCCCTAGAATTAAATGTCATGAAAAATTTAGAAATTAAGGGACTTTATGCTTTTGCGTTCTCCCCTACTAGTCTTAATCCCTTCCCCCATTCTTAATTATGGTACTAAAAAACAGAAAAATTTGAGGCCCCATTTCGGCCCCGGTCGTATGCTGCAAAAACGTCGCGGCGAGGTTTGTTCCCGCGATGCCCCCTTGCAGCCGGCCATTCGAGGCCTAGCCTCATATCGGGCTGAAATGAAGGTTCCTAGATATGCCGGGAGCGGCTACCCATTTTGCCATCTCTGAGGGTTACTCGTAAGGTTCAGTGTCCCCAAAATCAGGGGTGCCCTAAGTTCCCCTAATTTTTACTGCCTGGTCATACCAGAGTACCGTCAAAACACGGACTTGTCCCTGAGCCTAAGTCCCAAAACCGGAGATTTCAGGCGGCGCACTGCTTGTGGCCGCCTGACAGTTAGCCCAGACCACTTCTCGACGCCCCCGTCGAGCCCTATCCACTTACGTCAAATGAAGCGGACAAGCTTCAGGGTGATTGTCCGTAAAGGATATCCACGTCGGCGTTTAATTGTCTTATGTTTCAGTTCGTTATGAGTTCTGGGACTAAGAAGACGCTTCTTGACTCCCCTTTTTCCTCGGAAATTTGGCCTGGAAAGGATTCTCCCTCTCTTCTGAGGTCGGCCCGTGATAGGTGCCGACTCGTCAGCTTGTCTTATACAAAGTCTCTGTCTGGCTCTCCTCAGCACGAATAACCACTTCTCCCTCTTTCCCATCGCAAACCCTTTGACCTTTGTTTTCTCCCCCCTTTTCCTCTTCTTGGAACTCTGTCCCGCCTCATATCGCCTCAAGAGGGCTCTATCCTCCATTTTTACCTTCTCTTTCCCTTTCGGGCCTGTCAGCGATAAGGTGGGTGCAGGCCTGGGTCTAAACAACTTTAACCTAGCACCTGCCACTGGGTCCTTCCACTTGGATCCGTCTAATTCTGCTATCATATATGCACCCCAGTCGAGTGCCTCAACCACTCTGTAAGGTCTCATCCATCTGTTTGCGAGTTTTCCGGTCTAGGTCCTCCTTCTGTCTGCGTCGTAGAGAAGGACCATATCTCCTATGCTCACCCTCTCCTTTTTTATCCGCACGTTCTTATCCCATCTCTCTTTACCTTTGTCCCTTTCCACTGCCAGACGATCTGCCGCTGTCATAAGGTTGTCTTCCAAACTGTAGGTTATCTGTCTTGTTCGAGCAGCTATGAGTTCCTCTCGGGTTATCTCCTCCGCCCAGTCAATGGTCGTCCAGCTGTCGATGTGAAACTCTATGGGGAGTGGACAATGTCGCCCAAACCACAAGGTGTAGGGTGGGTACCCAGTTCTAGCCCTGACCGTAACGTTGTTCGCCCATATCGCATATCGAAAATATCGTGGCCAATCACTGTCCTTACTCTTGCACCACTTGGACAGTAACACTATCAGAGTCTGGTGTCCCCTCTCTACGGGGAGTTCGACTGTGGGTGGTAGGCAGTGGCTATCGAAACTCTCGCCCCAGCTCTCTGGAACACACTCTGAACCTCGTCAGCTAGGAATATCGCCCCTCTGTCCATCACTATCTTGCTGACACAACCATACCTAGATAAGTACTCTAGGATGAAGTTCTTCACTTCCTTTGCCGCCTTACTCCTGATAGGTTTACCGTCCACGAACCAAGTGAAATCGTCTCGTATGTTCACGACGTAGTTCATATTGCCTACCCCTTTCGGCATCTTCACTAGATCGATGTGTACCTTCTCTCCTGGCCTGGTCGGATAGGATGGATGAAGTGGCTTTTTGTATTTCACAAGAGCTCTCTTCTGGCACTCTTTGCAGGTCATACAGTACCTCTCGACGTCCTTATACTGTCCTTTCCACCAGTACAACCTGAGTACGTTTTTGTAGGTTCCTTTGATTCCCCTGTGTCCTCCGACTACCCCGTCATGAAGCTCCGCAACTATTGTCTGTCTCTCCTCAGGGTCACAGACTACTCGTAAGGGCATCCCCGAGCCGACCGGCCTTCGAAACAGATGGCCAGCTCTAAGGCAGTACTGCGCCGCTTGTCTCCGGATATCTGATTCTTGACTCTCCTCTCCTGACAAATGTAGCCCGATTATTCGGTATTTGCCCTCGTAAAGGTTAACCAGAAATCGCTCGGTGCGTCCTGGCTCCGCCATAGTCAGGGCCCCAGCTACTATCGGGCGCTCGGCCTTAAGAGGGATGCGCGAAAGTTCATCTGCCACGGCATTTTTAGTGCCAGATATCCTCTCAACCGTGTAATCATATAGCCGAATCCGTATTAACCATCGGGCGATGGTCGGGTCCGTCAGACTAAAGTCCTTCTGGAGGACAGAGGCAACCGCGGTGGGGTCTACTCTCAAGATGAACCGTCGCCCATAGATATAGTGTCTGAACGTGTCTAGACACTGCAGAACAACCAACACTCCCTTCTTGAATTGACTGTAGTTACGCTCAGCCGTATTAAGTGTTCTACTTTCAAATCTTAACGGTCTTTCCTTCCCTCCAGCGTCCTTTTGAGACAGCAATCCACCAACCGAACAAGGTCCCGCATCCGTGGACACTATGAAAGGTCTCTCGGTCTCATCGTCAAGGAATGACACGCCCAGTACGTGTCCTCCCTCCTTAAATTCGTCTTTAAGGTCTTGCATAGCCGTTTCTTGCGAGAAACCCCAGCAAAATCTCTCAGTCTTTCGAAGGAGTAACCTCAATGACTCATCCTTCTCCGCATACCCTCCTATGAATATACGTCAGTATCCGACCACCCCCAAAAACTGTCGGACCTCGGTTGGACTATGTAAAGGTGACGGTCAGTTCAAGAGTTTGTCTAGCTTCATCGGATCTGCTCGGCGTCCTCTCAAGTCACAGATAAAGCCCACGATCTTAATAGTCGAGACGGCCCACCGACTCTTTGTTCCGCTGACCGTCAAATTCGCATCATCCAGCTGTTTAAGTACCGTGCAAATATTTGTTAGGTGTTGCTTGACGAATCTTCTAACTCCTAGTACAACCTTTGTCTCATCCTTGTTTATTGACCCTTTTATAGGAAAGTCATCCAAAAAAACCTCAACCTTATCAGGGATGAAGTCCTTGAGGACGGCTACCACGGCTCTTTGAAAAACAGCTACCCCATTAGTCCATCCCATAGGGACAACCATCATCTGTATCAGTCCGAATGGCGTGTGCATTGCCGTGAGGTGCCTGTCCCTAGGATCAAGCGGTACCTCATCATAGCCTGAGAACAGATCACAGACCGAATAAATGGACCTGCCTGCGGCGCCTTCGACCAGTAAGTCGGCGTGTGGCACGGAGCCCACGTCTCGTATCATCACCGCGTTGACCTTCTGAAGGTCTTGGATCCATCGGATTTTGTCATTCGGCTTCCGTAGGAAGAACCATCGATTAGCATAAGCGCTATCAGACGGCTCCGCTACATGGGAAACCATCTTTTCTTTCAAGAAAGCGATAACCTCTTCCCTCTCCTTCTGGGCGTATTTCCACCCTGCGTCATTCCAAGGAACATGTGGAATCGTGTAAATCCTTGCTGGCTTAGTGTATCGAGGGTCAACCCTACCGCGCTCCGCGTCGCTGAAAGCTATTGCCTTATCACATGTCTTTAGGATTTCTATCACACGTTCTCGCTCCTGTGGGGTCAAATTTACATCTTCGATGTCCATCCCTGCTATCCTCTCTTCCGTTAGACGTTGCCGCTCCTTTTTCTTTCTTTCTTTGATTTTTTTTGCGATCTCTTCTTCCGATATTCCTTCCAGTGCAGATCGCTCGCGGCCCACCGCCGCTGGCTTAACTTTCTGAGCTACTCACTTGTGTCGCTTGCGTAGCTCCCCATAGGGGGCCGTGCCCTTAAAAATAACACAGAAATCACCCCAGCAAATTCCTCATCTGTCTCCTTTGGGTACGAGTTACCGTCTACTGTGAGCCAACTCCCCTAATCTTCCACTTCCACGATCCGACGTTCTTCCACAGTGAGCAGTGGTCCATACTTCTTCTCGCGAAATCGCACCGCGCGGCCAGAGATAGGTAATGACTTAATCTGATCACTGGGTCTTGCTCCCACTGCGAAAGCTGCTCTGTTCCTCGGGTCCCGAGGCTCCACCGTCTCAATCATAACTCGCGTCCCATCTAGCTTCTTAATGGACAATGTCTGGCTCCCATCTGGTCGCTCCATCGTCACCACATGCACGTGGCTCAACCACGTTCGTCCCAAGAGCAGATCGGAGTTGCAGTTCTTGACTGCAAGGACGGGCAGGGTCACTCGTACCCCTTGGACCTTTATGGCTACCTTGTGACAAACCCCAGTGATCTGTTGCTTTCTCCCATCAGTAGTCTCTATGACCTATCGAGGCTCAGTCCAACCTATACTGCCAGATCCTCGTCTATAATGACAGCCTCACTGCCGTTATCGATCACATCAACTAGTACCGCTCCATCGTTTATGATCGTCTCCACGGCCCCACTACCAAGTATGTAAAACTTGTCTGGTGGCACACCTTCCATCCCATCAAGAAGGATTGTCGCCATGCGATCCGCTGTGGCAGTCCCCCCCGTTACTGCTACGGTAGGAGCTTCCGTCTTAGGGACCCCCTGAGCCTCCTCTGATAGAGGTATGCGAGTCTTCCGCATGATCATCTGCAACTCATCGCGAGTCGGCTTCGATGTCGCCAGGTACTCCATAATAGAGCATTGCATGGGCTGCCGAAGGGCCCATCTCAGTGGCTCGACCGTGTCAATCTCATCCAGCGAACTCTTCATCAAGAACTTTTTTACTCCCCGCTTTCGCGGCGAAAGAATAACCTCCTCTCCATCGATCCACTGTCCGCCATCCTTCTCCACCATCACGCAATCCGTGTCGGTCTTCTTCAATGTAGACCCTCTCGCGGACTTGGTAGTTGTCACCCTTATGGGTGTGGTCGCCATATGTCCTTCGAAAGTTATCTTGATGCTCTGGCTCCTAACCGGCTCCTTTCCTTTATTCGGCTTTACTTTCTTTGCTTCGACATTCTCCTTCATCGAAGGAAACATCGATACATCTCCCAGATCGTCTGCCCACTTGACGTACTTGCGGTCGTCAAGCACGACAAGTCCGTCATTTATTGCCCGTTGGAGGTCCGGGCAATCTCTCTTGATATGATCATCTCCTCTATAGTAGACGCAAGAGTTCCTGGGAGTGGGCGGCCTGTCGTCTATGCCTCTGGAGGTCGAACCTCTCACTGCTCTAGGGTCAAGCGACTTGGGATACGGCTCTGATGAGGCGCCATATCCCCCTCTCTCATTCTGACCGCGCGAATCGTTGCGGCGGTCTCTCCCAGATCCCCCTGACTCATATCGTCCCCGTGAACCGTTTCGGCAGTCCCCAGCGTTGTATCGCCCGCGTGTCTCATCGCGCCGATCTCCTCGGCTGTACCACCCTCGCCAATCGTCGCGCTGTTCTCTCGCGTATCCCCCGCGGTCATACCGTCCGCGCGAGTCGTCTCGTCGGTCCACTTCTCGACCTCCTCGTGGTCGGTTGTGGCCCCATCGTGTCTGGTTCCGTAGGCCACCAGAAGACGCAGTCAGGCACTCTCGTCGGGTGTTACATCTCGGACTTATAACAGTTGCTGCAGCCCGGACCTATGACGGAACTCGTAGCCTGGACCAGTTTCCTTGTCACGGTTCACGCTCGTCACCAACCCTAGCTCTCGACTGCCCTGATCACTGCCACCAGTACTCGGTTCCGGTCGCAGATCTCGTGCTGTCCCTCTATCCCAAAAATCCCTGTAACTAGGTAGACCTCCCCTTCGGGATCGGCCAACAAGGCCGCGCCTCTCCGGATTTGCAGTATACCCATGACAGGATCTCTACACCTGCGGCAGATCGCAGTCCCAAGCCTAGCCAATGTCTCCTGATCAACACCCCTCAAGAGCCTCCGAGCGTCTAACTCCGCCCTCCCTGCTAGGTCTCCTAGCCCGTCGTGAATCGGGTAGCGTGCTGAAGGTGGAAGCTCTCCTCCTACTACCATCCAAAGTCGCTCCTCGACCTTTCTGACCTGTACTTTATTTCCAAGAGCTTCCAACCTCTATTTCTCCTCCTTCAACTCCCAAACAGCTATGAGATCATCTGTCTAGCACCTGAGGTAAGTCAGTGCTATAGCTATTCGTAACCTCATCGCCGACAGCTCCAAAATGTCATAGAATGTCTCAAAGTCCTCCTCATCTCCACCATCTTCTATGGCCTCTAAAGTCTTTATCGACTCCTTCCAGTACCGATCGTGAGCGGCTAGCACCCTGAGTATGGCACCGTCTGTTACAACTCTCCCTAACTCTCCAGCTTTCCTGGCTTCACTTATCTTCAACCTCTCAGCCTCTGTGGTCGTCTCGTACCATGCCCTTATCCGCGACCGCCCTTCAAAAGATGTTACTCGGAGTACGTATTTTATCCTCTGTCCTCCCTCTATTCCAATTCAAAGTCCTGTCCCCCTGGCCTCACGCAGGGCACGACGGACACACTCTGCCTCCTCAACTATGCACAGTCTGGTATGAAGTTGGAGCTCTACGATCACTAACACCAATGGTCCGTCCAATCTCCCTACCACATGCAATGAGTACCGATCCGTCGTGTGTAGTGTAGTCCCGCTCATGTCCTGTCGCTACCTCCCTATGTTACCTCGTCCTCCGTTGTCACGCCCTTTGCAGACGTCTCACTAGTTCCTTCACGTGATACGCTTCTAGCCTTTACCCTCTTCAGATAGTCTAATCTCCACGCCCGGATAATCTCTCTTTCCTCCCTACGCATACTCTCCAACTCTCTCGTCACGAGCTCAGCCCTACACAACTTGCTCTCATCCTGGCACGACCAGATCTCCCTTAACTTGTTCCCCAACTCCTTTACCTGGTTCAAAAGCGGTTCTTTAATGCGCTCTCTCACTCTTCCGACTGCATCACTCTCCTCTTCCATACTCAATCTTCATATTTTTCCAGCTCATCCTCTCACCCTTGCTCTAGCCTCATCTACCGTCTCGTCATGGAAGTGCTCCGCACGCATATAGCCATGTGACCATATCGTCACCTCATAGAAAATCGAGGTCTGGAAGGTCACCCGCGCCAGTACGTGAGCTCTATGCTCGTGGATAAAATACCTGGCTCGTTGTCTGCACTCCCTCGCTGTCAAGTCCTCATCTATGTACGCTCAGAGTAGTACTGTCATAGTGTACCCGGTGCTCACCTGTTGCAGTCCAACACACATCACTGTGGTCGTCCTCCCCGACATTCCCCAAGCTGCGGCCTCGAAGAGAAACCTCACATCCTCTACCCCATGTAATCAATCTCCGCCCGTCTCCTGTAGTACCTAATCAGATCGACTGGCCTCAGACAGTCCACCCAGCTAGTAACGTCTATGATGTCGTCAAGCGTCTTTCTACTGGGCGGTCCCCACCTCACACAAATGGCGTAGTATACTTCCCTGAAACGGGGCGCTAAGCCCTCCCAGAGCGCGTAAAGTGTGTGGTCCACTGCTCTACTCAAACGTTCTACGCTCCCATAGGTCTGCCCTATCACGAAGGCAGGAAGTCCGAATCGCCAATCCTCTCTCGGGTAGAGGGTCGGATGTGGTGGACCGTATACCAAGCGGCTCCAACGCGTCCTCCCTCCAGAGAGTCTCGCGAGTTGCTGATTAACGATCACTTTGGCCAACGACTCGCTTCTCTACCAAGCCCTGATTGCTCCTGCGAGCGTCAGTCCTACTTCTAAATCGTGCGCTCTATCGGCTATCAGATGCCCGACCCCTTCTAGGTCATGAGTCCTCTCGGGTCGTTCATCTCTCAGTATCACTGTCCAAAGGAAGAGTCCCTCCACAAGCCACGTTCCCAGGTATCGTATCGGAATACGCCTTGTCCCCTCTAACGCCACAAGAAGAGAAATGTCGTATCCAACCGCCGTCTCTCTGGGTCTCACAAGCTTCCTCACGCTATAGGATTCGGACTCTCGCGAGAGAACATAGGATCACCAGACTACAGAGTCACTCCTCATCTCCCCTCTGACTCTCGATCATCATCACTCTACTCCCTTCGACACACCCTATCTCTCGACATTGCTAACTCCTCATACAACTCTCCCACTCAGATCAAGTATGGTCGAGTAGGTGCTGTGCGCTCTCCTGTCGGCTCCATGGAAGTAGATAGTAAACCCGACGTACCTCTGGCTCCTCCGTATCCCCAAGGCATGCTCCGTCATGAGTCTGATCTGTCGCTCAACAATGTCAAACGCCTCTCCTTCCCATCCGCCCGTCCTATCTCGTCGTAGGGAAAGAGTCACCCTCAGTATATCCCGGTCTGCCATCTTCTGCACTACTCCCTTCTCTATACCTCACTCGGATATTTCCTGCCTCTAGTCGTCTTCATGCATCTAGCATATCCTCGTCTGCGTCCTCATCTAGCCTCCGACCCCATGGGATACCTTCCTGTCCCTCGGCCTGAAGGTGATGTCCCCAACCGTCCTCCTGGTCACCCCAAGGGTCTATGTCATCGAAGTCCTCCCAATCCCGATCCTCGGCGTACCACGCAAGATCGTCAGCCTCTGGATATACCTGCTGGTAATACTCCTCAACCTCSCCGGTCKAGATGAGATGGCCCGRCCTCTCCTCACGRGTCTCGGCTAACAGCTGTCCCACTCCAGCTAAATGATCAGTAGGCCCCCGAGCCTCTCTCTCTAGCGCCGTCCAGAAGGCTAGGGGCTGGTACAGAGAATACAGGTCGGGGCTCCCGGTAGGTACAATGGCCCGCAGGAACTCAATCAACTGGAGCCCTCGCTCGCCTACAAGCGTCCCTGCTACAGACTGCGCATACAACACCCAATCCCTGTCAGTGTACCCCCGGCAGAGGCCGTCCAAGTCAAGAGCCGCAAAGTAGATCTCACCCAGACGTTTAAGTCCCCAAAGCTCCTTCGCCACGAAGCACAGAAGTGTCACTCGCAGTCGACTGCTAGGATATGGGAAGTGTCCTCCAATTCTCAAGGTCATCGTCACTCCCCGAACACCCTCGTGCAGCCGCTCTACCTCGCCCCGCGCGGAGTCCGCTCGGGCCAGTAAAATCCTCCTCGCGCTCTGCTCCTCTCGCCAATGATCGTGCACGATGCCGTGAAAATAGACTGTGGCTAGCACCTCCCGCGAGTAGTAAATGTGGCCCACTACCTCTATACTAGTTATGCCTGGTCGTCGCCACCTCTGACTGTCTAGCTCAAACGTCTCGATGACATACATCCACAAGTGCACGTCTGGGCCCAACACCGTAGAAGACCATCGACTCTCTATCACATCTGCAGAAACCCCTCTGGCCGGCAGATCTAGCGCCACCCGCCCTGGTGCTACTGTCTCTGGAGGCCTAGGCCATCTAGCGTCGTCGATCTGAAGCTCTACTCCGCTGACCTGCTCTATCATCGATCCGCTCTTCACTATCCGCCGATATCAGTATCTAAGCTCACTCAACCGTCGTCCTAATGTGCTCCTCTACCTCCTACGCCCGGACTGCTACTCCTATCGAGGGAAAATGGGCGTCCGTAACGTCAATTTCCTCCTCGTCAACCTCACTCCCCGGGTCGACCCAGTCTGGCTCCGAGGCGTCCTCGTCGTCCTCTCGCTCCCAACCCACGTCGTCAAACTCGTCCTCGACGCGGTATGACGCCTGTCCTATAGCCTGGTAGTTCTCCGCCAACTGATGGCCGTATATCAGAGGTCGCCCGACGTCCTCACTCCACCAGCTCCCCCTGTCGTCTGAGAAGAGCCGCCCGATGCAGGTCACGTACTCGGGGCCTGCTCGGAGCTCACGGTCTAGCCAATTCCAAACGCACGGAGACTGGGGTCCCTCGTCGTCTATCGAACGGATCAGCTCTATAAGTTGAACCCTCTCGTCGCCCAAACGAAGCCTACCGGTCGTAAGCGAATAATAGATGTAGTCGAGGTCGACAGGCCTCCTCGCCAGGATCTTGAGATCCTATTAGGCTAGGTATGTCTCAACCACTCCACCAATACCTCCAAAAACGCTCTCTACTACGAACGTCGGAACTATCGCCCGCGGACTCCTAACACTGTACCGGAAAAACCCGTCCTGCGCTACCACCAGCTCGCCCGTGATATCTAGAAGAGGGCGCCCGTGAAATAGGGTCAACGGGTCACCCAAGTCCTCCGCTCGGAAGGCAGCTACCTCGTCCTTCAGGTAGCGTAACGCCTTGCTAACCGCACCACTAGTCCCTGTCGTCGCGAGCCCTACAACGGTCTCCTTGACGGCGCCCGGTCCTAAGTACAAGTAGGCTCTCACTACGCCCACTCCTTGCCCAGGCCGCTGCTCTCTGTGCATCCAAAGCCACACATCCTTGGACAAGATTATGGACCTCCGCGCAAACTGGCCGTCAATGTGTCGAACGTTGCGCCCGGGGATCGTGAGCTCTACCAGATCCCCTTCTATGAGTTCAGGAGGCTCCAAATCCCAATCGATGGCGGCCTCATAAACCTCCACTTGTGCTCGCGGCCACATCCAACTGGCGACTAGAGAGAACGTACCGAGAGGGATGGGCAGAGAAGGTGAAAGATGATAGAAGAAGGCTTGTTGAATTTCGGCAGCGTTTCACCTCCCTTCGTTGGGAACCCCGATATCACGCTGTCAATCTATCTCCTAACTGTCCAAGGGTCCCCTATGGTGCCACAGGGCGGAGTCCCGGCTCTAAACAAGGCAACAGACCCTATAGTCGAGTTCCCTTGAATCGAAGGCGTGTGCTCTGCTCGAGGGAACGCTGCCTCCGACTGCTCCGGTCACCCCTCAGGAGTACAAATGTCCTCCCTATCTAAGAAACAAAATTAGAAGGCCGTGATCTTCTTCCCTTTATTTTTCTAAGCCATTTTAATATTTTTAGGAAATTTTAATGAATTTAAATAA